GCATCGTAAGCGTCCGTTTCTTTCAATTCAAAATCGGCGACATTTCCATAATGAGTATCCGAATAGTTTTAACCAAGTCTTGATTTTAACTTCCACTGCTCATTCAACCGGTTGAAATACAGCCGCAAATGATGAAAATTCATTTTCATTCATTATTTTAAAAAAGTTACTCACCCTCAAATTTGTTTAATCAGAAACTCCTAACTTATATTAAAATGGAATTTAAATTGATGGAAGCGAAAATGAACAGAAGAATGAAGAGAAACTGAATGATTGAAAGCACGTCACCGTGAAGGGCCAAACAAATCCTCTCTCCCTGCCTCGATGCGTCTGTGTACCTGCCGAAAGCGTTTCCTCCTTCTCGTGGGGGCTGGGGGAATGGCGTCGCGGGCGATGTCTTAAAGCCGGCAATTGTTGAATGGCATGGGAGGACTTGCAGGTGATGCGTTCAATGGGACGGCCCTATCTCATCGGCTTACCTTAACGAGATGCGTTCCTTTGTTCGCATTCTAAGGGGTATTATTCTTGAAGGGCTTGGCCGTACCGCGGTCGGGATGTGCACAATGCCTTGTTGAGAATAATGTGACGGAGAACCCAGGCATGACAATGCTTTGCATCGACGTGGCATTCAGGGTCGCATTATCGTGAAAGTTTTCATTTGATCTCGGACAAATGTTGTTTGACGTCACCAGAGTGGCGCAGATACGTCGATTCGTCATGGAACTTCGACAGATAGACGTTTACATCCATAATTCATAATTACAGTAATCACTCGCCAACCGCAATTACTAAAACCGCGGTTGGCGTGGGATTACAGCATACACAATTCGGAGGAATTCAGGAATGTGTTCGATTTCGCCCCTGCATTTGATCCTCTTCAACGGCACCTCCCCAGACTCATCGTGCTTGCGAAATTCAAAACGAGGGAGTGTCTAAGTAAAGCGATAACATTGTAGAAATGTATTTTTTTTTACGAATTCTCAGTTGCACAGAGGAGGTCGCGACCGTTCCGCAACGCCATCAAAGCGATCGGAGTCCAGGAATGAGCAGTTCTCGCAATCCAGCTGGTATGTGCACTAAATAATTTTGCTTGAGTCTTGAGAATCTCGAGGAAACAATGACAAAAACTCGACTGCCAATACGAGATTCAAGAAAAGTAAATATGCTATGTAGAAATACTGTACATTCATCGACTGAGACTACTGAGAGTACAGAGCCTAGGTCGATTTAATTAAGATACCGATGTTTCCGGTATGGTCTGGAGCTACTATTACTTAGGAGCACCTTGGACGGCCCAACGCTTGTCTGTAAGAAGGCTCGCTTTTAACGGACTTTAAAGTAGACTCTAATCATACTACCTCAACAGCACTTCAGATTTTGCATGAATTGCTCATGACAATTGCAACAGGTGTAACGACACTTCAGGCGGTTGTTATCATTTGCCTTTTATTACTTAAAGGTTTCCCTTGGTGACCACATTATAAAGGTCAGCTATCGGTTCTTAAAAGAATAACATAAAGAGTCGCGTATGGTAGAAATTTCTTTTTCTTTTACATGCGACCACATAGTTTCTTTGAAAGAATGTAAACCAAAATGAAATTGCAGGTGATGGTCCTGATCGTGGAATACAAGTCATTCCCCACCAGCACCCTCTACGTGATCGAAGACATGAACACCGTCCACCGGCATTCACCTTCTGCCCCATCCCGTCCACGATCGGCCGCTTCCCTCTCGGCCGATCCAAATGGGTTAACGAGTCGAGAGATTGGTTTCCGGAGGTCTTTTGTTGAGAAATTCATGAGAGTCTCCCTGACTCGGTACAAATTTCTCCATAAAAGTCCAATGAGTTCCCATATCGTGAGAAATCGGGCAACAATCAACGGGAAGATAAAAATATACATCGGAAAAGGTCAGAGCAGCAAGGAAAAAGCTGTAAAACCCGAGCAAAATGAAGCATCCGTCTTTTAAACCGAAGAAACAATGGATGCAATTCCCGACGAAATCGGCTGTCTCTAACTGGGAGTTTCGCAGGGAGTTTCAATTACTTCACCTTGTTCTTGAAGGGAGCCATTGGCGTCGGAGAAATCAGTTGCACTGATCTCCTTTTCGTCTTCAGCTTGAACAAAGCCACGAAGTATAGGAATCCGCGAATGAGAGGAATTTTGCACGACTCTTTGAAGGAATTCTCAAGTATAGCTTATGAAATAGAGGGCAAAGTTTGCACGATTCTCCCCTACAGATCGATGTTTACGTTCACGATGAGGCAGAGAAATTCACGAACTTGTTCGGTTTGCGACCGGAACAGGTAATCGTCTACAACAATACCATAACGAGGCTCTTCGTACGCCCTAAGGTCATACAGAAATTGAGCAGAGGGAACGTTCCATGCATCACGGACAAGGAATGCAGCCACGCAAGGGTAGGTCCAATTCCCATACAAATCAGAATCTCACTGAATAGCAACAGCAAATTGCACCACTGCATGATTTTCGTTCCAGTGCTGGGAAAATTGCTTTTGGGAACATGTCCAAATTCATCTGGAGCTCCCATGCATCAGTCCCTACTTTCTGACCAACGAAGTCAATCTGAGGAAATCCAAATGCGAGAACATGGGCGACGAATGGAATCTCTTGTCGAAGTTGAAAGGCCTGGAAAGGAAAAAAAACGTAACTGGGACCCTGATAAGCAATAATGTGCGCCATGGAAATTAAGAAAGGCGATTGGATGATTATACTTCTCACAGGTCTGTCTATTGATGCCATGCATTTATTTTCTGCTATGATTCAGCCTCATGGACCGTTACGTTGCACGAAGGCCTTTGAATGTAGTACAATCGCATGTTTTAATACACTTTGTTCTTGACATGTATTTAATGGTTTCCATTTTAGAATGATCGGCTTTTTCGACCCATTCCATCCGATGTTTAATATGTTGCAATTGCATTTGGATTCTATGAAAATGGTAAACCTAATCCAGACATCAGGTTATCAAGTGAAAAATACATAGTTTAATTGAAAAAAATAACAGTATCATGAGAAAAAAAAGGGCCTGAATGAAGCAGCAATTCATTTGTTCTTGTTCATCCCTCTCAGGCGAAATTCATTAAGAATTAGAAAATCGCCACTGCATTAGTGACAACATTGTGTTTTAGCGATGCCGACCTATTGCATGAAGGTCAATTTTAGCGTTTTTCACCCAATTCGTGAAATTTGTCGTTTTACTACGACACCCCCACGAACTGAACTTCCCATGCATGAGTCCAGTGGGAAAAAAATACAGGAATTAGATGAGAGAGAACGAACTTTATTGGTTTTGAAACTTGATAATTCAAAGACGTTTGTCCACAGGAGAGAGAACACTAGCTGCTGAGTATCATGCAGTTTGCATAATCTGTAGAGGCACAAATGAAATATTTCAGGACAATCAATGTGAAGACAAAAAGAAGTGGAATTCCGTGCAAACACATTCATATTCTTTAACTCCTCTCTTCCTCTTTAACCAGGAAATTGTATTGTTTGTGGAAGAAATGAAGTCACTTCACCTTCATCGGAATTTAGCAATTGACATCAGTTACTGTATAATACGCTAATGTATGTTTGCAAGCCGAGCCGTGACGATATGCTAATAGATACACTGACATGCTATGCATCGCACGAAAGCCTATGCTCAAGAGAGGGGCATCGAGCATTCAATCCAGGATGAGTTACGAGTTATCAATTTTTTCATCAGTCTTCTCTCCTAGTGCTACACGGGCCGATTTCGCCGTACCCGACCCGATAGGCCCGATTCAAGACATGGCCCATAACGATCCGAAACCAGGAATTCCAAAGGAAAAAGCACGGCTTTGGCCCTGCACGGGCCAAAGCCGTGTAACGCTCTTACCCAAGGTTCCTCCAATAGCGAACACGACTTCTGCTTTACCCACAAACATATGGAATTCTTTCTTTACTCCATGGAATGGAACATGGGACTACAGAGCGGCATTGATTACTTAATGGTGGAAAGACATAAAACAGTGTAGAGCACGGTCGAAAAGAACGTGCTTAAGAAAAAGGGCTTGTTTGTTTTCGTGTTTACAAGTGCTTTGGGTTACTACAATATTCATTCACTGTTCAACAAAAAACTAAAAGTAAAGAAGCATAATGAAGCATGCGAGACCTATTATAGGACTGAGAGTGTGGTCTCAGATGAGAAAGAGCACAACATTTTTCCAATGAGGTGTGACAGCCTCGCTCAAGCTGAGCTTCCTCCCTATGAATTTATCATCTCGCCTCGCTCTAAAGCTAGGTATGCGTGTCCGCAGAAACCTAAAGGGTGAGCAAGGCTCGACAATGGCTCTCAAGGTCGAAAGGTGACAGTTTCCAAGCCGTCGTGCTTTAGCCTTTAGAAAAGCGCCAAGGGAAAAATTCCAACGAATTGGTTTATAGCCTGCCAAGCCTGTATTTTTCCATGGACATTTGTTGTAAGTCTTTCGATCGTGTTCCGATAGGTTTTGAATTGAAAATACTCTGCACCTTTTTGAAAGTCAATTTCTATCTTTCATGAAAATATTTCGTTTTCTTCAAGGAAAGTCAAGAGACAAACTTTATACAGATACCGTTCCATGTCGGAGTTCAAAGCATTTTCCTGTTGACCATATTCCTTCAGGATAGTATGTATTTGCGGTAAAAGCAGAAAATATATACATATTTTGTAATTTTCGCAATATATGCCGAGCTCTGCTAGCATCTGCAAAATAGGGTGAATGAAGGAATAAACGTTGCAGGCGAATCACCTAGATTCTCACAGAATTTAGTATGCAATTTTTGCCTTCGGGTTTTTCCCTTCAGTGAGAAGGATCTTGAAACATTGCATTGTTTGAGTTTTTCCTTGAATGTATAACCTAATAGACATCTTCACGAACATAGCTTTTGAAAGATTACTTTCCCAAATTCTTCAGAAACAAACTGGGCCAATTCCTGTCGAATCGACTGCGCTGGGAGACATATCGGTTGTCAATATTAAACGATACCGCTATCAATGACCTCATTTTTCCGCCGCATTAATTTGCAGCGGATGGTCGAGAACGCCATCTCAACCATGTCGTATAATGTGATGAGCGATGCGCCGAGGCAGACGCCGACGATTCCGCCGATGTTGGACAGGACATCCAGGAGGGTCAACTTCTCCTGCTCCCGAAAGTAAGGGACCTGTGAAAGATATCAGAGAAAGAATTCAGCGCCTCATTTTCCTCCTGGTGATGGGACAGGAGATCTGTTCGACTTGTTTTGAAGGGAAGCTGATGAGGAGCCGAGAATAATTCAATTCTAATTTCCTTTCATTTTCCACATCGCACGCGTCGGTTGGAGGGGCAAGGACATCATATTTGGTGATGTTACAACGCTTGGGACAGTTGCATTCCTTCCACCCCTGGGGTAGGCTGTTGTTGTGGATCTTGTGCAACATCGACAGGACGTCAAGTTCAGCATTCATGTCAGTGCAGTTGGGCGCGGTAAGATTCACGTCCTTGGAAAGGAAGGATGGACTGAGGCACGGTAGATCCATGTGCAACTGGACGTGTTCCCAGAAGCAGTTTTCCCAACACTGCAATGAAAATTATGCATTGGCGAAATACACTGAATCCGTGAAATTCTGAACTTAAAGTGGAACTCGATTTGCGTGAACCCTAGAATGGCTGTATCCATAATCCCCGACGCATGGAGCCGTCCTTTTGCTCAGTCTCTGGACGACCTGAGGGCGAACCATGAGTCTCGTGTTTGTGCCGTTGAATATTGTTATTTTTTCGGGTGCCAAACCGAACACATTGGTGAATTCCTCCGAATTATCGTGGATGTAAACGTCGATCTGCATCTAAAAATCATCAGAGGGAAAAGTTTTCTTCTAATTTGAAATTGTCTATTGCAAATATCTACAACAACCACTGGAGGATCCTCTCACTTTGTTCTGGAAGTCTGAAGTCATGATTCCCATGAATTTGAATTTGAGGAGAATATTGGAGCAACTATTCTCCCCGACGGTTATTTCTCTCTTTGGGAATATGGAGAAACACTTGAAATAATAAGGAAAATCCTTTTCCTCGAAATTCCCGAGAAAGGTTCGCTCGCTCCAATGGCCAACACCTGCAAAAATCTCGTTTAGAGACAAGGGACACAGTGGGAAGGAAAACTCAAGAAATCATATTTTCACGTATACAGCGATACAGGAAGACGATCTAAATCTTTCAAATTTCAAAGGGAAATTTCAAAGGACTGCTACACTCGGTCCCTACTTGGCGGAAATCGCTGAAAATGTATATTCATGCAATGGACGACTCCATGATTAGAAGCTCATCCTGTAATATTGATTCAATCCAGAAATACGCACAATGTGTCTCTTTAGAATGATGAGACAGAACTCACTGAAATTCATCAAAAGGGGAATTAGGAATCTCTTCGTCTAAAGTAAGAATTCCCGTTTTGAACTTGAATATCTTTGGAGCTCCAATTTCGTTGTGTGACACATTTGAATGTTATCTGACGGAAGAACCAAAAAATTGGAATATTGAACTCTTTGCATCATTAACTTGCCGTGTTACCAGTCCGGTCGCAGGTTTACCACAGTACTTCACGTAAGCCTGCAGGATTCAATTAAATATTTATATTAATTCTTGGAAGTTGATGTCGCCCCTCAAATTTCACGAAGAAGGCGCGGAGTTTAAACTATTCTCTGACGCGATCCACGGAATGTAAGAGACACATATTCTTCATGGAGTAATAGTTAGCCAATGAAAGAGCAGGCACCTCGTTTGGTGTAGATTTAAATTGATATGTCATCCCATTCCCAACGCATACCTAAAAAAACAACTGTTCCTATTGCTCTCAAACACTCAGCGTCATCATATACATCGCCAATTTCCTTCGCTTCTACGCACATCCTTCGGGCCTCCTGCACAAAAAGTCTGAAGCAACTTTACTATGCGCTCCAGCACCATCATTTGAAACCCTTCCAACAACTATTCGGCACACCCCAACATCCAATAACAACGTTCTAATTGGCATTGTATTTCCATAAGAGGTTTTGGAGCAGTTTCCTGGAAAAAACATACCGTCGAGCTGAAAGATGGTTTCTCCATTGATTATTGACTCATTTGCCACACGCAGCCATCCTTTGGGAGCCACTTCGAACAATCGGAGAAGAGGTATGGAAATGTTCTGGAATTTCTCTATGTACGTGGAGGTTTTGAGTTCCAACCGCCACTGTGTCGACATGATGAGATAGTCTGGGAAGCGGCCGAGGGTGGATGGCTTCGGGCAGAAGGTGAATGCCGGTGCCGGGATCATTTCCACGTCTTCGATCACGTACACGGTGTTGGTCGGGAGGGACTGGTATTCCTCGATAAGGATCATCACCTGTAGTTAGCATTAACTTGCAATTGTTCAAAAGCACGCATACAGCTGCATGGGAAATATTTCGAAGCTGAGGTCAGGCCAAAATAAACAATACATCTAGAAATTCTTAGATTTCGACAGAAAATATTATAGCACGGGTTTTCCGTGAAAATTTCTTTTCATCTCTGTGATGATAGCTTCATGACCATGTCATGCCTGCGACTGTGGGTGTTTCTCAGTCTTAAACGATAGGAGAAATGTTAAGAACAATCTCAGGAGATAGAGTGGAGTGCGAATAAAAGTTACGTCAGATTTTGTGGTATTTCTGAATAATCGATAAGAGGCGTCATCAAAGAACATCATCGGGCTCCAGCCGACGTCATTGAAAGGCACTGCATTTTGCACTCGTCTCTTCTTTTGCTTCTTGGTCAGCATTGGCGTCGTGATATTAATAACCGGGTCGAGCAAGATGACGCTGCAATGTCTATTTGAGCACATGCCGGCCTTTGTTCTCTCGCAATTCCCTGACAACTTCTTCTGCCGTTGTTTCGAATCCACTGACAGATCGCAATACTGTCCGCGGGCGTAAGCATACAGGGTAGGCCATCGCCCTCCCCCCCCCCCCCCCCATATGCTTTAAGGTGCCTCTATCTTGGATCTTGGTCGTATTATACTGAAGACTACGGTTTGGGTTCTTCGTTTGACGGGTGATTTCCGCATCACGGCCGTAATCCAGATTTTAATAATGCAAGGTGATTGATCGGTTCTTCGACAAATGGTAAGTGAACAAATCATGCACCCTTTCCAGCAGACTCAAACACTTTGAGATTTGTTGTACACAGTGCTACATATAGACCCCTATTTCACATTCTAGAAAGTTTTTTCCAATTTCGTCAGTATTAGAACGATCCATATAAGTGGGAGTCAAAGGGAAAATTTGTCCTTGATCTCGAAGCACCAATACTCAATGTCGATCACGAGTTTATTGTGGCATTCTGATTGAGAGAAAAGCTGTTTCGGCAAAAAGCATTCTTGAGTTATTTCTTCCACATTCAAAAAATGGATGTTCCAACCCGAGAATGCACTGCACGTACCTGCTCGACAGCGAGGAATGTACATATTATTTCTTTACTCTTTCATCGGAATTCCTTTCCTTATTCCACCATATTGTGGATATCCATCGATACGACTAAAGTAAAGAGAAGATGGAAAGTCCAACAAGTAATAGAGTAAACGAGAAGGAAGTTTGAGTTAAATGAAGTTGGAGTGAAAATTGTGCGGAAAAGGAAATTAAATGACAATGAATGAAGGTATATCAATGTGTCATGAATGTATCGAAACCGAAACGAGGAATGAAGTGCAACCGATTGCCAGATTGAAGGAAGTTGATATGAACATTGAAATGACCCTGGGATCAAAAGAAACGGGAATTGAATTCTAGAAGACAATTTGAAATTAAAGATGGAGCCAGCCTCACCAAAAGAAGTTGACCGAACCCTACTACCTGCCTCCACGCACAGTTTGAAGGCCGCAGTAGAGTCTATGAGTAGACAGTGAACTCTGGTACACTGTCTCTCCTCGTATTTGTTGAGCACATTGACGCAGTTCTCATTGTACATTCATGAGATTGGGTGTCACTTTCCAAACACAGTTCCCTCCATCTAAGTTATTAATTCAAACTGGAGGACCTCGGTTGCTAGGCAACCGAGGTACTTGGCGTGTTATGGTATCTATCATTTGGATTCACCGTAGTGCAATATTTTTGGACACAAATTTAAGACCATGGGCAACGCGATTCAGTTGTCATTGGTAAAGCCACCAGAGGTCTCCTCTGATCACTACATATCCATACTGGCTGTTCCACAAGTTTATGATAATAATAACAACAACAAAATAATAATCGAGACGAAACTAACGAGACTTTAAGCAAGATTGTACACCCTTGCCTATCACACGGACTGCAGAGGAAACCATGATGACGAACTCCTTTTGCAATGGTATAATTAGCATATTTTTTCCTTGTGCGTGGACCCCCCGCGATCTCCAGATCTGACTCCACTTGCGTCTTGGTTGCTGGGATACCTCTAGTCAATTGTGCATTGTGCAGTGTCTCCACCTTTTACAAACTTGAAAGATTCCTTCCGACATCATATAGGCTTGTTGAACATTGGACAATATCGTTCAGTTGTCTTTCATGTCATCCCGCGGATGGAAGCCATAGTGGTCATGAAAGGTGTATCCATTAAACATTACTGTTCTACGATGAATTGTATGCAAATAACATATGCTTTGAAGACCAATAAACTTCATAAGAAACCTGTGTGTAGAGAGCGCGATCCTGGCCGCTAGCTACGCCGACCGACACGTGTGTTTGAGAGTTTGTGTGTGACAGCTCTACGGGCCAAACGCTTCGAGATATGAACATTTTTGATACAAAAATCATTCTTGATACATTTTTGATACACCACAACAATAATGCTTCTCATGATCTGAGGATGTGCCTTTTCGGAAAAAATAAATTGTGCGACGCCATCTTGGATGCGACAGCGCAAGGCGGTGCAATCTTGGTTCGAGGCGAGGCCGTTGCGCTTCCATGTCGAACTATGACCTGTGCGGCGGCGCAATGAATGGGAGCGGATTTGTGACATCCATCCCAGTTCCTTTCTAAAAAAGGGGGGGGGGAATTGTTTTCCCGTCTCGCAGTCATAGCGATATATACCAAAATTTCTAAGAGTTTATTATGCGATCGACGGGAGCTTGTAGGAAAAAGGGGGATTTGCAGTTGATGACTTCGCTGTGTGTTGCATGTTCCCTACCTTCCGACATCCGCATTTGAGAGGTTCATTTCCTTCCTTTTCATCTCGTATCTCTAAAGCCGGAAAGTTGAGTAGCGGGGTGCAAGGGAAAACACGCGCTGGGGTTTAAAATACGAACTGGCGAGCCTGAGTCCTCCACGCTCTTCATTATGAACACATATGATGACTGTTAAACTGTCGGAAAAACCGCATGGAGTGTTCGTATCTTGAAGAATCGCAAAACACCAGATATACTGGAAAATATGTGAATACCGAGTAGCATTGGAACGAAAAAGTACTGTTCAGCGAACGTCGCCCTTGAGGTACCACCAACGGACTATTAACGTCCTCAGGAGGCTTATCGGGTTCATATACGTGAATCTTCTCTGTGGAGGTATATTTCCTAGTGGACTCCATTCTCATATTTATGAGAACTCTCCCCCACAAGAGCAGAAGTCCTTGGGACTCCATCAGCTCAGCTGTTCTTTTCCTTGCGTACTAGTTGCGAGAAGGGACAGATCCCTTACACCACAATTGTATCACTCTCCTGCGCATTTTGACACGATTTCTCTCAGAGGGGCTGGGATGCGATGGTAGATGCTCTGATTGGAAGCGTCTTATGCAGACGGCTTTGAGGTACAGGGTGTTCCGAAAGTTTCTGGCACAGTATGAACGTTTTATGAAGGCGACCGTCTCCTTCGACTATGATAACGAATGTATCGTCTATGATATCGTCTCCACTGTCACGTTTTACATTATTGATAGATGGACCGTAGCATCATCCATCTGCTTCTATTCTATAACGTACAAGATTCTGGTGAGCAGGGAAAATTGTATTAGAAGCTATTTTGTGAAATTGTGGAAAACCCCGGTGGAGAATATCAAAACTTCGTGCAGTAGAAGCATTCGTCTCTTCGTGTGCGACGGAATGCGTTAGCCGCATCCATGCGCGGAAAAAATTATAAGATAAGGGAAAAGTCTGGGAAACTCCTGAAGAAAGATACGCGTTGTAGGGAAAAAAAACTCAGGAAAGTGAGATTGTGAGTTGTGCGAGATGGACCCGCGAAGTCGTCACTAAAGGCCGCGGCCGTCAGCACGAGGGACGGCCGAGGCAAGGTTGTCTGAAAGGGGATGGTTTTACGTTTGTTTGCAGGGAAAGCATGATGTGTTGAGAAGGAGAAGTTTTTCATTCTTCCGTGGACGTTTCTTGATGTGGCTCCTCTTCGATATCCAAATGTAGGAATGTGAAAACCAAATTTCAAAGGTTTTACCTGCCTTCAACCTCAACCTCAACCTCTCCCCCCATCTTCTCTACGGAACTCATTAACGTTAGGCCTAGGCTTAACCGACGGACTGTCATCGGGTCAGGCCTAAGCCTACCTTTTTTCGTTCAAAAGAAAATCAATCCTCGGCCTACGGACCAATTAGGCCTATCATAATTAATCACTCGTCTCCGAGACACCTCGTCGAAGACGCGTAACGTTAGGCCAATCGTAGACCTAATCGGTCTCTCAGAACATTTAACAGAGAACGCTTAATGTTAAACCAAATTTAGGTCTTTTACGAGTTTCATGAGCCGTTTCGGTGCGGTCGGGAAACATTAGGCCTATCCAGAGTTCCTCGAATCCTCTCGACTCGTTCTGAGAAGAAAGTGTCCTTAGAAATCATGACGTGGAAGCTGGCCGTCATCACGCTAATTTAGGGATGTCCGAATGAGATCTCTCCGTATTCCACCAAATCGATCGGCCACTGCAATCCACCGCTTCGATCGCGGCTCATACCAAATATTCAGCACATTAAAGACTCCTACATTAAATAGAGAAGATCCAGACAACGATACTATGGCCGATGAAATCATGAATCTGGGATAACTAAGGCACGATATCCGGCAACACTGGAGGAGGGGACTGGACCCATCGCGCTAAGCCTAAATAAACGGCATCTAATTTCATTTGTCATGGCGAAATGGTGCACTGAAACCAAAAAAGGAGACTTTTTGTCACTTCCAGGTCAATATCTTTCCTATGGTTTGTCTCTTTCCTCAAAAAAAATTCCAGGAGCGGCTATCCAATGGGGGGGGGGGGGGGGGGGGAACACCAGAACGACTTTCACATCTCCCAAAAGTGAGTCAGTGATCTCCACAACCCCGGGGAGATGGAGCTTCAAATTTTTCTGAAGTGATTCTGCGTGTTAAGAGAGGAAGAAGTACGCCAAATGTCATTCACGTCGATGCTCTCTGAGAGGAATACGAGTCGGTTGAATTTTGTCGCGGGAAGGGGTTGAAGGAAGTTAATGGGCGCTACCAAAGCCCATTGATTTCGAAGACGCCATCAATGGGCGCTACCAGCGTCCATTGATGGCGTCTTTGAAAGGCCCTCGTTATCGTTGTGATGGAGCCGTGCCCTCTTCCCTGCTCTCTCTCCAAGGCTCTGACACTCTGCAGCCGCTCCTTTGCCTGGGGAGGCGAATGACCTGATCGCGATCGCGACGGAGGTTCCTTCGCTTTCCCTCCTTCCGGGAAGCGGCGTCGAATGAGTCCTTGGAACCGGTGATATCGCTTGGGAATGGGTCGATGGACGTCCCGTGTTCTTCTATACGGAGGG